TCGCCAGGATTTTTCTTAACCGTCTCATGATCTGCTCATTACAAATACACTCATGTGACCAGTCACATCATGGGAAGGAGAAGGGAGGTCAATAAATTGGATCTCGACCGGTCGGAAAAGAAATATATATCGTACTCTAACCTGACACATGCTGCATCCCAGAGGATGTTTATCAGATTCATAGCGTAACTTGCACAATAGGGTTATTTTCCGACTCTGATTCATTTTTTCTCTCATAGTACTTTATCCGTTACTCATAAAAAGAGCAGATGCGACGAATGAAGCCTGGGTGTTACTGAATTTCAGACTCACAGTTTTGTCGTGGCGGTCTCAGAGACCCTGGACAGTGAACAGAAGATTACAGTTTTATCGATCCTCTGAGTCTGTAGTGCCTGTATCTTGTCTGAGCTGTCACAGGATACAAGAGCCCTTCTCTCCGCAGCAAACTTCTTGCTATTACCTCCATGCTTTTCAAGAAGAATTTCATGTGAGCCCTCGAGATCGCTCTCCCATCCTAATCAAGCGAGATAAAAAAAAATAAATAAATACATCTCGGATATGTTGTCTTGATAATTTCCATTCGGTTGCAGGCTACACCTGAAGGATTCCAGGGGCCTCTTCCTAGCCTCTTCTATACTTAATCTAAATATAAAATTATGCTTAGTCTGAAATTGACTTGAAAGCATTGCAAAAAGCAGTCAAGGGATTCTGTTTCTCACCTCAGTGCAGAATTAACGCACGTGTATACAACGTAGGGGGAAGGGCGCCGGTGGGTATAAAACGGGAATTACCTATCAGGACAGAAGGGGACATCCATAAACTGCGGCGGAGCCGAAATGGGGAGGGGATGGGATTCAGGGATTTCACACCCCTTCTTGAGACTTCGTCTCAGCTACCCAACTTCCCAACCCTTGAGGGGTTGGAATAAGTGGGCACAGAACATGCCCTACCCAGAGTCCCCAAAATCGTTCATTAGGTCCTGCCTCGCCTACATAAAATCTTAATATAAACTAACTTTAAAGGTTCATTCACATGAACTGCATCAAGGCCACTGGTAAGAAAATTATCCGCTGGCAAGAGGGTTTCAGTTCATTTATGTGGGTTCATGCTGAGAATGTACGATTGGAAATTTAATAACTGGCTCCTGGGAAACTGACGAAAAACGACTGACGGGAAACCTCGCCGGTCGGACATGGTGACAGGAGGACCAGAGATGAAGTATCAACTGCACATTCTTTTTCTCCTGCTTTGCTAGTGAAAATTAGGTAAACCCCCATCATGTCCGCGAGTTGAAACGGAGTTGTGACTAGTTTCCACTGTAACCCTGAAGCATCGAGTAAAAGAGCGATAATACAACATAAGGCAGCGGGTTAAAGTGAAAGCCATTAAGGACCTACGTCAGAGTTGATGTTATATAAATATTCTCTGCCATTTGCGTGGTTTTGGATTCGGATGTAGAATCGAACAAATGTTAAGGACGTTCTCCTTAATCTCAACATTTAGACAGCACTGGGTCGGACAAGTCTAAAAATAGTCCTCCTTTCAGACGAGATCTTAGCCCGAGTCTGGGCGAGGAACTGGAGTTTTTGCTTTGAACCTGCTTTTAGATATAAAGCTTAGATTTTGGTAAAGGCGAAAAGCAGACCTCGACTACTTTTTATAATGTGTTCAGGTAACGTTTAGATTTAGATTAAATTTATCAGAGGCGAGGAACAGGCTCCAGAAGTAAAGTGATCGACTCCCCCCTCCACCCGGTATAACAGGGAGTAAAAGTCAGAGGTGGAGAAAAGTGGAATGGGCAAGGCGAGAAGGGACACGTGCTGTGAAGAGTGGGGAGGGGGGGGGAGAGAGAGACGAAGTGACTGGATGGAATTTTCCATCTCTTATTCTGAGAGTAAGGGGTAACGGAACGGGGGAAGGAAGGAAAGAAGGAAGCTAGCCGATGTGAATGCATGCGGAATAACTTAGTTGAAGAGAGGAGAGGGGAACAAGACCATTCCAACCTCTGCACCATTTTTGCCCATAGGCAAATGGTGCTGGGGCAAGGGCAAGAGGGAGTCTGGGGCAAGGGGGAGATGTACCTACCGCAAAAAAAAAAAAACAAAAGAGAGAAAAAAAAATACAAAGGAAAAGATGCATGAAATGCATGAGAATTGGGTTCGTGAGTTCTGCAGGCTTCTTTCTTCCTTCGTTTGGATTCTTTTCATCGAGCATCATGGAAAAGGTTAGACTAAGGGCTTAAGCCACTTCCGTAGCCATCATGACCTCTGACCCTGTGGGCGTCTGCTTTTTCAACTGCCGGCAGGACACATTTCATCACCCACCTATCACTGGAAGAAAAAAAATTTCCTTCCTCCGTAATTGTCGAGATATCTATCGTTTTACTCATCGGAAAGGGATTGCGAGGCCGGATGACGGCAAAAAGGTTCTTCAGTATCTCGTCGGGCATCCTTGTTCTTAATCGCTTCTTGGAGTCTTTTCGCAGGGTTGCGTTCTAGTGCTCCTCCCCTCTCTCCCCCACTTCTTCCCTGCACGCTACGCTCATGATGGAGTCAGTGCCGGAGTGAAGGAGTCTCCACGTTGTGCATGCACACAGTCGGAGGCCGTGGGTCGTGACGAACACTGCTCGGTCGCTCCTCTCTTCTCGTGTGCATCACGTGCATTCGTGTCCTCTTCCCGATCCTATCGTGCTTCCGTCCTTTCAGATCAAAGACTGCCTTGCGAGTCCTGTTTGCTTGTTGCGTAGCTAGAGTATCTTGAAACTCACCAGGGAGGTGATTTTGGAAGATATGCGGAACGAAAGCCGAAGTCTTTGCGTTTCAACAGCCAGGGAGAGTATCACGAGTGGGAAGACTCCCAATCCATATTGGGGCAATTAACCCTCTTGGTTCTACGACCATACCGGCACGATAGGGCGAGCGTGGTTCCTCGGGCCTGCTCCCGTGCCTGTACGGTTCACAGTTCCCGTGCGCTATTCTTATGACCGTTCGGATGGGACATGGGCTTTGTGTTTGTATATTGCTGGGTGCCTTGTGACTTTGTCGGTGGTGTTCCCTTCCCCTCCTGGTGGGACTTTCAATGATAAATTAAAGAAAATCCCAATCTGAAAGTGAGCGACATGGCTGGAATGTTCGCTTGCGCGCTGGTGAGTATGAAGTACTAGGTAATAAGCCATAGTGATCCTAAAGCGACAGGGCTCTCCGTGTCGACCCCTGCTTCAGCAAATTCCCGCACCCTAAATCACTACTACAGTAGGTGCAACTTTGAACCACTCATATTACAAGCCCAATTATTATTTTTTTTTGCATAAACACCGAGCGCGTGCACCCCTGAAAAATAAACTCTGCCGAGAGGCACGGCCGTGCGAAGAAAACTCCGAACCGAAAAGGTTAATAAGCCCGGGACTGTTTCCCAAACATCCTATTTTCGTTTCTTCTCTTGGCCCCATCCATATGAATCATTGAGGCTCCCTTTCGAAGGTCTCACTCTTCGCCTTGGAACATTTGGTGATGTGTGCAGAACTTCCTCGTGCTACATTTGCCTATCCTACTCTGAATATGTATTTTTCCATCGTTGTCGAGTAGAAAGGAACAGATGAGAACCGGACGATCTCCTCTATGGAAATTCGACGGTAATCCCGCATTGCAGTTTTGACTGTGCCCGAGGCTACCTTCATCGAGATTGGGATTAAAGAGACTCTTTAATCCCAATCTTTGCCCATGAATTGTCTGCTGTGAAAATTTTCGGAAGGAAGTGGTGAAAAGGTAGCGAGATCCAGGCATGGACATGCCTGGATAATGCCATACTGAGCCGCCTTGACAAGACTCAACTTTAATTCCCCTTCTCTTGACATTTGGCGTACAGGTCACGTAGAAAGTCGTGATTGTCCATCCAAGCGTCGCGTACGGATCATTGAGAGCTATGTTTTTCTGCATAATTTTACTGCTCTCTGTGGTACATAATGTAATGTCGAAGCCCAGAACGTTGTCATGGTTTATGTCGACTTGCAGAAAAGTCGAATGCATCGCAATATTGAACACACGATCGTCGTTTGGGCGTAATGTCGATCAATGTACTGCTGAACGCGTCAAAGCAAGGAAAAACGTGAAAATATCAGAAGTCGACATCTAAGTGAGCTTCGGGCTATCCTGTTCCTTGGGTCCTGATATAATGAAGGAGAGCAGATTTTTTTTTAACCCTTGGGGTATCCAAGATTGTCTTGTCAAGCGATAACTTGTCTGCATCGGCCAGGGTTGGTTGTTTTATCGCTTCAAAAAAAAAAACCGCACTGCTACATTGAGTCCCCAGTCGAATTGTGGCAATAATCGTGACCGACATGCAATACGTGCATTCTGAGAAGGGTGGCAAAATGTTGGTCGTGCATGGTCATGCACGGAGAGCGTGGATTGGAGCTGCCAAAACCGCATTGTCCATGCACGAGTCTTGGTGTCCCTAATCGACGAACCAATAAAAGAATCACCGAAGGTGGATGATAGTCATGCACCTAATCGCTCTGTCATAGAGAAAATTTCATTTCGACATTACTCTCACGCGAAACTAACATTCACCGCTTCATTCATACCACGTTCAGGAATTCGACCTATTCGGTTATCCACAATCGAACTGTCGACTTTTGTAGTTTCAAAATTTTGTCGAGACGTTCTCTGGTGCATTTTTATGAAGCAATATTGTGTGCTTCTGTGCTCTTTCAAGTATTCGTAAATTGTTGCAAAATATTCGTGAACTGGGGTATTTTTCCATAGAAACTTTCCGACTCACAAAGTGCCAGTCTCCAGCAGCTCAGGGTGGTTTTCGGACTAGTTGAGCTAATAATTGGAAGCAGTAACCCTTCATTCCGACCTGAGTCGATGCTCATGCTCTTGCCAGTTTTTTGGAAGTATGCTCTCTTGTGAGGAAGTTCGGAGGAAAGCGATCGTGGATCGTAACTATTTTCTTTGAATAGCTGTAAAAGTCTCTCATCAAGTTACACCTCTTTCAGAAATTAATCCTAGGCATCGGAATGGTCATTTTACTTTTGACTGATGAACAGATTCGAATGTGATTATAATCCGAGGCCGTGAGGTCCTGGAGTTAAAATCCACATTAAGTTGTTGATTTAGTTCTATTTTCTGCAGATGAATACTGAAGAGTGGAGGTGAGACGGAATTAAATGGAGATTCAAATGGAAATTGAAGGAAGAGTGGGAGGAGAATGGAACTTGTCGAGCAGCTTTTATCGTTTCCCGTTTGAGAAAACCTACGATTTCACGGAAGTCAAAGATTGGGCTATTCTCTACTTTCAACGTGTCCTCTTGCTGGCCCTCGTCTTCTACCCAGGCTCCGTCCTCTTCGGTAAGAAGGCGATGAAAAGCGGAGGCGATCTGAACCTGGAACTACGATTGCCTTTGATCTGCTGGAATGCTGCTCTCGCCGCTTTCTCCTTCTTCGGCTCTTTTCGATCTCTTCCCGAACTCCTTCGGATCTGGTCTCATCACGGCTTCCGTTCGACCGTCTGTGACAGCAGGTTCCTTCTAAAGTCCCTCTTCTTATCTTCCCGTCATACGATGTTTTTTTTGGCTCTGAATTGGGGGAAGATTAATGAAATTTAACTCGCGTCGTGCCCTACTAACGGAGTCCAGCGTCTAAAATAAGAGATTTTTTTCGCAGGAACCTGCGAGATGGAGTGGCCGGGGTGTGGGTGTGGTATTGGGTGGCATCGAAACCGTGGGAACTGGGTGACACTGGATTCTTGGTCCTCCGTCGGAGACCGTTGTCTTTTCTTCATCTTTTCCATCATGCCACGGTGATCGTGAATGCCTGGTTCGGTTTCATTCACGGTGCCTCTATTCTCCGCTGGCTCACCAATCTCAACTACACCATCCATGCTCTCATGTATACGTATTATACGTTGAGAGCAGCGGGTTACCGGGTGTCACGTCGACTTGCCATGTTTCTCACCTCGGCTCAAATCCTTCAACTTGCGGCTGGGTTCTCCGTCTCCCTTTATTCCCTCGCCATGAGACTCCTGGGCGAGGCTTGTCACGTCACCTATGAGACCCTCGCACTCACCATCCCCACCAATCTCGTCTACATCATTCTCTTCTGCCGCTTCTTTATAGGCACATATTTCAAGCGCAAGCGTATGGAATGACATATCCCATAATAAGCATCGTCTCTCCTAACTGAGAATAAAGTCGTGCCAATTCCAATACTTAATCCTGTCTTCTTTATGCGAGTTATCCTCACGCAATGCAATGCAACAGATGACCAAGCCTGCCACGACCATCGTGTTACCTAAGGATCATCTTACCCCGGCATGTGATATTTCCTCCAGAGAGGAATAAGATGACCCTCATGTCGAACCATGCTCATTTCTCTATTTAAGAGAGTCTCAGCACGAACTTGAGCAGCCTCCAAAAGCATCCGTCTCGTCAAGCCATGCATTTAGAAGAACCAGTTACACTTAAATGAGAAACGGGAAAATAATAATTTTAGAAGAAAAGCCAAGGACTTTAGGAAAAGCCCATCACCTTGGTGTTGGTTAGCCTATTTCAAAGTCTAGCTCCGGAAAAAGTGATAGAATCTTTCTTGTGGTGCTTTTAGCTTCACGTTTATGTTCATGCATCGGAGGAAATAAAGTACTGGGGAGACTCCCATACCCTGCATTACGTGTACACGCAGATGAAGCTGAGAAAGTAGAAAACTACTATACCCTACTGTATTCTAATCCCTCAACAACAATAATATATAAGACCAGCGGGATTTTTCACAAGAAAATGCTTCTGACAGCGTGATTGAACGAAATGACGTATGAAACGTTTTGTGCTGTCTTAAAATTTATTGACACCTCTTTTAAAATCTTATGCGAGCATTTTCAAATAATGAGAGCCACCTCATTGAAAAAATCTCCAGATCCCTACAGATGAAGATGAGGCCTGGATGAGGATAAATAGCTTTAGGAAAGGTAGATTTGAAAGTCTTGCTTCAAATTTGTTAGCATGTACTCGAAGACCTACCAATGCATTACGACTTAAGAACATTGGCGCCGACATCTTAAGAATAATACGAGGGGTCCTGCATAAGTTTCCGGACTTTTCAATTTAAAATAAAGGTAGATTTTTTTCATTTTTTTCTCTGAAAGTATGTTTATTTAACACTTTTCAACATAACCGCCGCCAATATCAATGCACTTTTGAAAGCGCCGGAGCCAACTTTGAAAACAGTGCTAAAAACCGTCTTTTTTGAGCTGTTTCAACTGATTCTCCATCGCCTCAATCAGTTCTTCTCGGGTTCCAAAGACTTTTCCTCGCAAAGGTGGAAAACAGCCAAAAGACGCAAGGCGCCAAATCCGGTGAGTAAAGTGGCGGCTCAATCAACTGGATCAGCTGGTTTGGTCAAAAAAAGGGGCGGCGCCGCCACTCAAGGCCATCCGAGCCAAGTCCTTCGACAAGGTGATGTTTGCTGTTTTCTTCACTTCTGATCGCTTCGTGGCGGCTGTACCGCTTGAGAAAGGCAAAACAGTGACTTCGAAATGATATACGGAAACGTGCCTGCCGGTCGTTTTAAAAAAATTGCTGAGAGGTCGCCCCAAGTCTGAGCTGGGAAAGCACTTACTACATCATGACAATGCACTGGCGCACCGGGCGACCAACACCCTGCTCTTCATTGGCGCCTCTGGGATCCAGCTGATTGAGCCGCCACCTTACTCACCGGATTTGGTGCCTTGCGACTTTTGACTGTTTCCAAAAGTGAAGGAACCTTTGCGAGGAAAAGTCTTTGGAACCCGAGAAGAACTGATTGAGGCGGTGGAGAATCAGTTGAAACAGCTCAAAAAAGACGATTTTTTTCACTGCAGAAAACAGGCACTGTTTTCAAAGTTGGCTCCGGCGCCTTCAAAAGTGCATTGATATTGGCGGCGGTTATGTTGAAAAGTGTTAAATAAATACACTTTCAGAGAAAAATATGAAAAAAATTACGTTTATTTTAAATTGAAAAGTCCGGAAACTTATGCAGGACCCCTCGTAAGAAAGGGGGGAGGGGGGGTTAGGCCAGGGTTCATATGCCCTTTAACCTCCTCAGACACAGAAAAAGTAAAACCCATAGGATTTGGCACATGTACATGCCACCCAGGTCTAAGGATGTGTAAATAATGTGGACTAAATCATTTTCGAATTGAATGAAAGAATGCAGATTGTGCATTGGAAATGTTCTGTATTTTATGGTCAGACCTGGAACTGATGGTTGGACTACTGGGTGTTAGGGTACTAAGACCCCTCTGCATCTCCACCCCACTGTTGGGTCCAATCACTGCCCACATCAATCACCGTCCACATCTCTTTTTTTCGACTTGCAAGTTGAAAAAAGTTGCGCCCTCGCTCTTGCACTCCATACCCCCACGCGATTCTTGGTATCACCCGGTCTACACATTAAACGGGTAGAATTCTGTCATTTCTTTTGTAACATAACATTTTATTTTCAATGTCGAAAGTGTGTTCTGGTGCACTTTGGCCAACCTGGGGGAGGGGGGGGGGGGCACGTACCCCTTTGCTCCTCTGGGTTCGGTGCCTGCGCTTGAGAATTCACACCTGCATGGGTTTTTATGCTGCAAACCAAGCCAACTGAAGCACTTATGTGGGAAGCATTGAAGCTACAGAACTATAACATGGATAGAGGAACACTGGCCACAGAACAATTTTGAGGGATGTCCAAATGAGGATGGCAATACCAAACGAGTCTTCGCACCGAAACTTGCGGTATCGAAATATGCCGTCCATCAGCTTCTACAGTGCTAAAGAGCAACAGGAGACGTGGACATCTTCCCCTTCTGCCAGGTTCAGATCGATATCGAGCGGTACATATTATTACCCTCTGATATCGCACCCGATAGGCACCCGTTCATCATATACGGCAGCACTTAACAATTGCAGGTGTGACAAAGAAGACTGCAGGATCGTGCAGGTGGAACGCGAGACGACCGACGCACGTCCCACATACTGTGTATGTCGTATCTAAATCGCCGTATCCAGGATTGCTCGGCTATGGCCATCGTCCTCGCAAAATCCCATGGGTTTTGAGCAGGACTGGGATTCGGTGATTTTCACGGATGGAAGCCGTTTCTCCTCACGGGGAACGACAATACGAGCTCGGTTCGAAGGCGGCCGAACGAAGCCCATCTCCCAGAACGTTTAGAACCGACCGTGAAATTTGGGGGGGGGGGGGGGGGGGGGGGGGGGGGGGGGGG